TCAGCTGATTTTTGACAAAGGGCTGAAATCCATTACATGGGGAAGAGATGGTCTCTTTAACAAATGGTGCTGGCAAAACTGGATATCCATTTGCAGAAAAATAAAAAAAAGATCCATACCTCACACCATACACAGAAGCTTAACTCCAGATGGATCAAAGACTTAAATATGAAACCTAAAACTCTAAAGTTCATCAAAGAAAAACTAGGGGCAAATTTAGGGGCCCTAATTTATGGCAAGGAGCTCTGGTGGCACGGTGCCTAAGGCATTTGTCTGCTAACCAGAAGGCCGGCAGTTGATACTTACCAGCCACTCCTCGGAAGGAAGATTGGGCACAATCTACTTTGATAGAGTTACTGTTTTGGAAACCCAAGGAGGGATTGCTATGAGTCAAACAGACTTGATGGCAGTGAGTTTGGTTTTTTGGGTTAATTTATGACATAAATAGACTGTCAAGCATAACCCAAAATGCACAAACAGCAGAAGATAAACTAGATGAGTAAGACCTTCTAAAAATTAAATTTTTATGTACTTCAAAAGACTTCTCCAAAAGAGTAAAAAGAGAACCTACAGACTGGGAAAAATATTCAGCACAACATATGTGACAAGGGACTTATCTTTAAAATGTACAGAAAACTGCAACACCTCAACAACAAGAAGACACACAATTCAATTTGAAATGGGCAAAAGACATGAATAGCCATTTCACCAAGGAGAATATTCAGGCAGCCAACAAACACAGAAAGAAATGTTCATGATCATTAACCATTGTTGTTGTTGTTATGTGCTGTCAAATCAGATCCAACTCATAGTGACCCCTCCTTGGGTTTCCAACATTAACCATTAGAGAGATGCAAATCAAAACAAGATAACATCCTGCCACAGACCTGATAGCAAAGTTCAACATGACAGAAAGTAAATGCTGGCAAGGATACGGAAAGGTTGGGACTCTCATATACTGTCGGTGGGGCTGTAAAATGACACAACCACTATGGAAAGCAGTATGGCAACTCCTGAAAAAGGAATTAGAAGTACCATTTGATGCACCAATCCCATTACTAGATATATATATTCTAAAGTGAGAGCCAGCACAAGAACAGATACATGCACACCCATGTTCATCACAGCACTATTTACAATAGCAAAAAGATGGAAACAACCTAGGTGCCTATCAACAGAAGAACCAAACTGTGATACTTAACATGATGGAATAGTATGCAGCACTAAAGAATGATATACAATATAAAAAACACCCCATAACGTGGATGAACTTTGAGGACATTATGCTGAGCGAAATAAATCAGTCACAGAAGGGCAAATACTGTTATCAGTTCATTATTGTAAAAAGTCAAGGAAACCTTTATATATGGAAGGAAACTTTCTTTGTTGGTTACCAGGAGTGGAAGAGGAGAGGAGGAAACACTGCATAAATAAATAAATAAATACTTTATTATTGAAAAGGAGCTCTGGTAGCATAGTACCTAAGACACTTGACTGCTAACCAGAAGACTGGCAGTTGAAACCCACCAGCCACTCCTCAGAAGGAAGTTTGGGCAATCTACTTCTGTAGTGATACCACCTCAGAAACCCAAGTAGGGGTCACTATGAGTCGGGTCCGACTCAACAGCACATAACAACAAGAACATAATTGGAAAAAAAAAAAAAAAAGAAATTAGATGATGTATTGCACTGGGCAAATCTTATGCAAAAGACCTTTTTAAAGTGCTTAAGAGCAAAGATGTCTCTTTGAAGACATCATTGAAAACCGGTATGCCTAACCCAAGCCATGGTATTTTCATTCACCTTGTATGCCTATGAAAGGTGGACAATGAATAAGGAAGAACAAAGAAGAGTTGATGCTTTTGATTTGTGGTATTGGTGAAGAATACTGAAAGTACCATGGACTGCCAAAAGGACTAACAAATCTGCCCTGGAAGAAGTACAGCTCCTTGGAATCGAGAATAGCCAGACTTCGTCTCACCTACTTTGGTCATGTTGTCAGAAGGAAACATTCCCTGAGGAGGATATCATGCTTGGTAAAATGGAGGGTGGACGAAAAAGGGGAAAGCCTTCAACGAGGTGGATTGACACAGTGACTGCAACAATGGGCTTAGGTATAGCAAGCGTTGTAATAGGACTGGGCAGTGTTTCGCTCTGTTGTACATAGGGCCGCCGTGAGGCAGAGTCGACTCAACAGCACCTAACAACAACAGCAAGGAACGCTGGACTAGGTACTATGTACTGCTAGAAGAATGAACAAATCTTGGAAGAACCATAGCTAGAATGCTTTTTGGAAGTGAAAATGGTCAGACTTTGTCTCGTACTTTGGTATCATGTTGTCAGAAGGGACTAGTTCCTGGAAGAGGATATCATGTTTGGTAAAGTAGTGAAAAGATCAGTGAAAAAGGGGAAGGCCCTCAATGAAATGATACAATGGCAGCAACAGTTGACTCAACTGTGGCAGTGATTGTGAGGATGGCACCAACCGGGCAGTGTTTTGTTCCGTTGTACATAGGGTTGCTATGAATTGGAACTGACTCGACAGGAACCCTGGAAGGAGCCCTAATGGTGCAGTAATTAAAGTCTTGGCTGCAAAACTAAAGATTGGTAGTTCAAACCCACGAGCCTCTCTGCAGGAGAAAAATGTGGCAGTCTGCTTTTGTAAAGATTGACAACCTTGGAAACCCTACAGGGCAGTTCTGCTGTGTCCAGTAGGGTCCCTATGAGTTGAAATCAGCTTGTGGGCAGTGGGTGTTTTTATTATTTTGTTTTGTTTTTTGGAGCAAATGGTTAAGTGCTCATAACTAAATGACAGGTTGATGGTTCAGATCCATCCAAAGGTGTCTTGGAAGAAAGGCTGGTGACCGACTTTTGAAAGGTCATAGCTATGGAAACCCTCTGGAGTGCGGTTCTACTCTGACATATGTGATGTCACCATGAGTCAGAGTCAACTTGACAGCAACTAGTGTTTTGTTTTGTTAAATCTATTACATAGTACTTGTTTTCAGAGTTTAAGAGCATGATGAACTATGGATTACATTTATATTTCTTACAGTTTATTAACTAGCCATCATCACTGGTGTTACTATTTTAAAGTTTTTAATTTAGCTATTAAATTTATGGTATGAAAATCCAAAATACATTGTTAAAAACACTATGTAGAAGACTGAATTTTCTCCTTTTCCTGAAAGCAACAGAAATAGTTTTATAGGCTAAGATTTTACTGGCCAGAAATTAAGGAGTCTGTAACTTGAAGCAGTTTTAATATAACTTCTACTGGAAAGAAAAGCTTGCTTGGTCAATATAATACTCCTCTCTTACACAGGCAGAATAATAATGTTATTTCTCAAAATAAAAAGTAGAGAAGCAAAAACTAGGCCTTATAGATTCTCTTAGAAAAGCAGTTTTGAGATTTAGCTTCACATTTTCAGAATCCTGATGGCTTTAATAGTGAAGGCTATGAAATACGCATTTGTAAAATAAATTGATTTGAGCAAAATTTACGTTTTAGTTACTTTTGCATTACAAGGAAACAACAACCTAGAATTATAAAAGGACAATTAAAAAATAGAAAATCCCTCATTACTCTGTTGTTAGCTGCTATCGAGTTGGCTCTGACTCATGGCTACGCCCTGTGCAATGGAACGAAACGTTGCCCAGTCCTGTGCCATCTTCATGCTTTTTGGTGTGCTCAAGTTCATTGTGCATTTTGAGTGCCTTTCAGCCTAGGGGGCTCATCTTCCAGCACTGTGTTGGACAGGAGGCTTTTGTGATCTGTAAGGTTTTCATTGGCTAATTTTCAGAAGGAGATTACCAGGCCTTTCTTTGTAGTTTGTCTTAGACTGGAAGTTCTGCTGAAACCTATCTACCATGGATGTCCCTTACTGGTATTTGAAACACCATGGCATAGCCTCTAGTATCATAGCAGCACAGAGGCCACTACATTATGACAAACTGACAGACAGACGGTGGCTCATTACTATCCTAAATAGCTTTCTATATTTTTCATATTCACTTCCAGTTTTTTATAATTACAGTCACTAATGTTCAGACACTTTGGAATTCTGGCTTTTTAAGAATTTTAATATTATTAACATTTCCCTAAGTGTTGCAACCAGGTACCGTGTTTGGCTGCTAACTTAAACATTGGCGGTTTGAGTTCAACCAGAGGTACCTTGTTGAACTTCCACCTCGGAAGAAAAGCTGGTGATTTACTTCTGAAATATCAGCCATTGAAGAGCATATGGAACACAGTTCTGCTACAACATACATGGCTCCAGAGCAACCCCAAAGCAACTGGTTTTATGCTTTTGATGGTTTTAATTTCCCTACAGCTGTGCTGATTTGGTTGATTGATTTGTATGAGCTGAGGTTGTGGATGCCTTGGAATTTTTATAGTTTTCCAGGAGCAAAATAATGATATTGTTGAATTGGACATAAAAAATAGACTTTTTTGAGTATGTAATTTGGTCAAACTCTGCTTACACGTGTCTTGGTTACCAGTGGGAAGGAAAATGAGTTGAGAAGAGAATTTCACACTGTTGTCTGAATTATACCCTAGATCTTAATCTGACTTTTTTTTTTTTTTTTTAATGTAGATATACTTGTTAAATTTCTCCCATCGACAGATAAGCATATGAACAAAAAGATTTCCATTTTAAAGGACCATGGCTTCACAGAGTAAGTACTTTTTTCTCTTAAATCTATACCTTCAGAAATGAGGGTTAGGGCTCTGCAGGCAACACCTCCTGACTCTGTCATTGACTGGTCAGTATTTGTTGAGCACTTACTATGTGCAGTAAAATGTACTTAATATTGCTGGGGTCACAAGAGTGTTAGGCACTTTTAAAAAATTTAGTTTTGGAAGTAAGATAGAAGTGTAATATGCTGAGTTATTATATACCAAAAAGGAACCTGGTGAGTACTATTGGTGGTCTAATGTGTATGTGTGTCTGATGTGGTCAGGAGGGATGGCATTGGGCTAATGCAGGATGAGGCTGGCCCTCAGAGATGGAACTACCCACTTGAAAGCAGAACAATGATTTAGGCATTTAAGGTGGATGGGCAGCTGGGTGATTCCACACCAACTGGAATAAACAGGGTTTTACCCTTTCTCTTTCACATATTCTCTGGACAATGTTAAGTTTTAAGTACTCCAGTAATAGTGTGAGGGAAGTATAACTGTGATAGCTGCCATTTGTTTGACCCCTGGATTAATCAGTCCATCATGCATCATTCATCTCACTGTGAGCTGTGGTGCACCCCTTTTGTTGTGGCCACTCCCACAAGTTTAGCCTCTTAACAAAATTAATTGGAGCATAGTTTAGTACTCTTTTTTTTTTTTTTTTTTTTCATAGCACAGGGGTTATTTTTCTATCATTGGACCCTATTATTAATGTTTATAGACTTATTTTTCTCCTTTTCTTTTTTATCAGTGTTGTAAGTTGTATATGTTTAGTGGCCCTTTTAAAATAATACATGACTTTTCAGCCATTTGTGACAGTGTCATGAAATACCTAAATAAAAGATTTATCTTTTTTTTTTTTATTTTATTTTAGAAATTTGACATTTGGATGGGATGGACCATCTTGGAGATTACTCACAGCTCTCAAGTTGTTATGTCTGGAAGTTGGAGAATTGTAAGTTCCACACATGTTGGTCATGAGCTGTGGTTGAAATCTGGACATAATTTGGGTATTTTTGGCTGATATTCAAGTGCCCAACTAGGGAAGAATAAAAAATGTCTATATTAGAGTTACTTATTCTCTGTGTCACTTACTCATATAGGGTGCTTTCATCTAAGTTTTAAACATTTTTCATCTGTCAGTTTATCGTACTGTGGTGGTTCACATGTTGCAGTGATGCTGAAAGCTATGCCACAGGTATTTCAAATACCAGCAGGGTCACCAATGATGGACAAGTTTCAGCAAAGCCTCCAGACTAAGACCAGAAAGAAGGACCCAGAAATGTACTTCTAAAAATATTGGCCAGTGGAAACTTATGAATACCAGCAGAACATTGTCTGCTATTGTGTGAGAAGGTGATCCCTTCAGGTTGGAAGGCACTCAGATAGGACTTCGGAGAGCTGCCTCCTCAAAGTAGAGTCAACCTTAATGACATGGATAGAGTAAAGCTTTTGGTTTCTTTATTTGCTGATATGACATGACTCAAAATGAGAAGAAATAGTTGCAGACATCCATTAATAATTGGAATGTGGAATGTATGAAGTATGAAACTAAAAGAAAATTGGAAGTTGTCACGAATGAAATGGAATGCATAAGAATTGATTTCCTAGGCAATAGTGAGCTGAAATGGACTGGTATTGGCCATTTTGAATCAGACAATCATATGGTCTACTATGCTGAGAATAAAGAGGAATGGTTTTGGATTCATTGATAAAAAGAACATTTCAGGATCTAACCTAAAGAACAACACAATCAGTGATAGGAAAATATCCACATGCCTACAAGGAAGACTGGTTAATACGACTATATTCAAATTTACACACCAACCACTAAGACCAAAGATGTAAAATTGAAGATTTTCACCAACTTTTGCAGTATGAAATTGATCAAACAAGACGTCAAGATGCATTGAAAATTACTGGTTATTGGAATGCAAAAGTTGGAAACAAAGAAAGTTTGAACATAGGGTCTTGGTGATAGAAATGATGCTGGAGATCTCATGATAGAATTTTGCTTATTCATTGAAATACCTTTTTTTTTTTTCAACAAAATAAACAGTGACTATATACATGTTGTTGTTGTTGTTATGTGCCGTCGAGTCGGCCCCGACTCATAGCGACCCCTCCTTGGGTTTCCGAGGCAGTATCACTACGGAAGTAGGATTGCCCAACCTTCCTTCCGAGGAGTGGCTGGTGGGTTTGAACCGCCAGCCTTCTGGTTAGCAGGCAAGTGTCTTAGCCGCTATGCTACCTCCTATATACATGGGCCGTACCATATTGAATGCACAAGAACCAAATCAGCTATGGCTATGGGAAGAGATGATGGAGAAGTTCAATCTCATTAGTCTGAACAAGGCCAGGGGCCGAGTGTGGAACAAACTATCAGTTGCTCATATGCAAGTTCAAGTTGAAGCTAACGAAAATTAAAACAAGTCCTTGAGAGCCAAAGTACAACCTTAACTATATATCACATGAATTTAGAGTAGAGTTTCATTCTGTTGTACATAGGGTCACTATGAGTCAGAGCCTACTCAAAGGCACCTAACAACAAGAACATGAAGAATAGATTTGACACATTGACTGCTAGTGATTGAAGACTAGATGAGATGTAGGAAGACATCAAGGACATCATACATGAAGAAAGAAAAGTCATTGAAAAGACAGGAAAGAAAGAAAATACCAAAATTGATGTCAGAGGAGACTATGAAACTTTCTCATGAATGTAGGGTAGCTAAAGCGAAAGGAAGAAATGATGAAATAAGTGAAAGAGCTGAACAGAAGATTTCTGTGGTAGCTGGAGAAGGACAGAAAGTATAATGAAATGTGCAAAGATGTGGAGTTAGAAAATCATAAAGGAAGAATAGCTTGACATTTCTCAAGCTGAAAAAATACCTGAAGAAAAAAGTTCAAACCTCTAATTGCAATATTGAAGGATTCTATGGCAAAATATTGAATGACACAAGAATTAACAAAAGAAGATGGAAGGAATACACAGAGTCACAGTACCATAGAGAGTTGGTTGACATTTAACCATTCCAGGATGTAGCATATGACCAAGAACTGATGGTATTGAAGGAAGAAGTACAAGCTGCATTGAAGGCGTTTATGACAAAGAGGACTTCGAGAAGTGACAGAATACCAATTGATATGTTTCAACAAATAGTTCCAATACTGGAAGTGCTCACTTGTTTATGGCAAGAAATTTGGAAGACAGCTACCTGGCTAGCTGACTGAAAGATCCATATTTGTGCCCATTGCAAAGAAAGGTGATCCAACAGAATGTGGAAATTGTCAAACAATATCATATGCAAGTAAAATGTTGGTGAAAATAATCAAATAATTTAAGGAATACAATTAGAGTGAATTTTTTTAAGGAAATACAATGACAGGGAACTACTAGACATTCAAGCCAGATTCAGAAGAGGATTTGGAATGAAGGATATCCTTGCTAAAGTCAGATGACTCTTGACTGAAAACAGAAAAATCAGAAAGATATTTAACTGTGGTTCATTGGCTATGCAGAGGCATTTGACTGTGTGATCATAACAAATCATGGAAAGCATTGTGAAGAGTGGGAATTCCAGAACACTTAATTATGTTCATGCAGAACCTGTATGTAGACCAAGAGGCAGTCTTTGAAACAGAACAAGGGGATAGTGTGTGGTAAAAAACCAGGAAAAGTGTGTGTCAGAGTTGTATCCTTTCACCATACTTATTCGGTCTGTATGTGTAGCCAGTAATCCAAAGCTGAACTATATAAAGAAGAACGTGGCATCAGGATTGAATGCAGATTCATTAACAACCTGAGATATGCAGATGATTCAACCTTGCTTGCTGAAAATGAAGAAGATTTGAACTATTTACTGATGAAGATCAAAGACTCCAGCCTTCCGTATGGATTATATGTCATCATAGAGAAAACAGAAATCCTCACAACTGGACCAATAACCCCTTCTGATAAATGGAGAAAAGATTGAAGTTGTCAGGGATTTCATTTTACTTGGATCCACAATCAAAACACATGGAAGCAGCAGTCAAGAAATCAAACAAGTGTTGCAGTGGACACATCTGCTGCAGAAGCCTTCTTTAAATTATTAAAAGCCAAGAGTGTTACTTTGAGGACTCAGATGTGCTTGACCCAACCCATGATATTTTAAATCATCTGAGGTGCATTAGAAAGCTGGGCATTGAGTAAGGAAGACTGAAAAAGAGTTGATGTGTTTAAAATATGCTGTTGATGAAGAATATTGAATATACTGTGCACAGTCAGAAGAATGAACAAATCTGTCTTGGAGGAAGTACAGCCAGAATGCTCTGTAAAAATGAGGATAGTAAGATTTTGTCTCATGTATTTTGGACATATTATTGGGGGCACAGTCCCTGGAGAAGAACATCTTATTTGGAAAACTAGTGGTTCAGTTAAAAAGGGGAAGACCCTCAGCAAGATGGATTGATACAGTGGCTGCCACAGTGAGCCCGAACGATTGTGAGGAAGACGCAGGACTGGGCAGTGCTTTGTTCTGTTGTATACGGGGTCGCTTTGAGTTGGAACTGACTTGACGTAACAATAATAAGGATTCTTACTTAGAATCATAGTCAAAGTACGTGGTTCTGTTTAATTTCTGTTCAGATATTATCCCCCGGTGACCTCTAGCTCATTGCTTAGGGCAGACATTGTGACTTTCGGAGGAAATTCTCATGCTAGAGTAGGTAGGTCTTTCCCAGGAGCAAACAGAACTCCTACCAGGAGCTCCATGTCGTTCTGCGGTGGGCAGGTCCAGATGCTCTGAAGATGAGGCCTGCATTTTCCATGGATGGTAGGGACAGGGGCCTTTGGTGTGTACATAGGTCCTGATCAGGCTCTTCCATGTTCGCATGAGGCTGTCTTAGTCTGTCAGTCACACCCTAGCTGGGCACCCTGCCAGCACATATGCTGTTCCCTGCCCCATGCCAGGAGCTCCTTCCCTTTTGTTCAACTTCCTTCTGGCTCTTGCTGGCGCTTAACAAAAGCTCAGGTGAGAGAAACCATCCAGGGAGGAAGATGATGGGGAAGTAACAAGTGGCTGGAAGGATTCAGTGAGATAATGCTTCAAAATAGCACTTAAAACGGTGCCTGAAGGTAGTTTCGGTGCACACTCAGTGACACCAGCTATAGTCATTGTCAGTGTTTATGACATCACTTCTTTTCTGTAGGGACCTGGGGAGTGAAAATTTCTCTGTGGTCCCAACACCATGAATGTTATTGTTAACCTTGGACTCAGCTCCAACTCATAGCAACCCTATGTACAATGGAAGAAAACACTGGCATGTCCTGCATCAACCTCACAGTCCAATATGTTTGAGCCCATTGTTGCAGCCACTGTGTCAATCCATCTCATTGAGGGTCTTCCCTTTTTTCACTGATGTTCTACTTTACCAAGCATGATACCCTACTCCAGGGAATGGTCCCTTCTGACAATATAACCAAAGTAGGTGAGATGAAGTATGATCATTCTCACTTCTACAGTGCATTTGGGCTACTTCTTCCAGGACAGATTTGTTCATTCTTCTGGTAACCAATACAACAATTCAAAGGCATCAACTCTTTCTCAGTCTTCCTTATTCATTGTTCATTTTTAACGTGCATATGTTGTTGTTATGTGTCGTCAAGGTGGACCCAACTCATAGCAACCCCTCCTTGGGTTTCCGAGGCAGTATCACTACAGAAGTAGATTGCCTAGCCTTCTTCTGAGGAGTGGCTGGTGGCTTTGAACTGCCAGCCTTCTGGTTAGCATTAACACACATATGAGGTGATTAAATATACCATGGCTTGGGTCAGGCACACCAGGAATAGTTATGTTTTATTCTCAGTAGATGGTATGTTTTGAACTTACAGACCCTGAATTCTGTAACTGATTATCCTTCCTTCTTTTTATTGCTTGTTAGACAACTCAGATGCACATTTGTGGCCCATCCAAATGTTCAGCATCTTAAGGCATGAACTTTGCCATTGGTGCACTTTGTCCTGGGTGCCTCACCTCTGTACGCCTCTCCTTTTTCCTTTGTCTTATCTTCTTCATTCATTCATCTTTTATTTTGTTATATCTTGTGTGTATCCTTGTATGTAAGCTTCTTTAAATCCTTTGTGGAACAAGATACAAGTCCTTTTGAGGCACCTCAACCTAAAATTTACCACTGGAGGGCATCTTTAGGGCTCTTTTTCCCTCTCAGTTTTTTCTTACTGGCCAGAGCGGTATGGCAGAACAAGCATGGGACTGGTCTCTGTCTGCTGTGTGCTTGAATGCCATGTCTGCCTCCTGCTGGCTTTGCCACTTAGAGGGAGTTCTTTAACTATCCTGATTCTCTGTTTCTGTACGATGTGGGGATTATAGTATTTTCTTTGCAAGCTAATTGTGAAGATTAAAGTAGATAATGGGTATAGGTAAAAGCACAGTGCCTGGCACAGAGTAATTTCCCTCTTTCTTTCCTGAGAACTCATCTATTGCTGGAGGTTCAGCCATCTCTTTAAAGCTGAAGACATCTGAGACTTTATTCCCTGGTATTTCTTATCAGCCATTCTGCATTTCTGACCGGCTTCTGTGTACTTCTACTCTTCTCATTGTTGCTGCAGTCGTTCTACCTTATGTCTTCTAGGCCAGATTACACTTCCATGTTCTCTGTATCCTGAGTTTTTCCTCCACCCTCTTCCTCCCTGCTTCATGCTTCCTTCTAGTGTGTAGATTCGGCCTTGGCTCCCTCCTCCCTACCCTAAACCACCTAAACTCTTCTGCCTGCAGTAAATCGGCTCTACCTTGCCCATTGTGGCTCAGCAGTTAAGCTCTCAGCTACTAACAGAAAGGTTGTGGTTTGAACCTGGCAATCTACTCCCATAAAGATTACAGCCAACAAAATCCTATGGGCAGTTCTCCTCTGTCATGTGGAGTTGCTATGAGTTGAAATAGACTCAGCAGCACTTAGCAGTAACAGCCCTGCTCATGAACTTCATTTTCCACAAATCTTTGTAGTGCAAAATTAGAATGACCTGCATGTACAGAAACACTTGACTAGGTTCATCCTTCCGTATGTAAAACATTATTTGCCAAACATGTTCTGTTCAGTTTGCCTTTTTTTGAGGGGAAGACTGTCTGTCACTTGAGAGAAGGAAGCTCTGTTGCCCTCACTCCTCAGTCTTTTGGCCTTTCTGCTGTGGTCTCGCCTGCCTGCGCTCTGTTGCTTTATGTCCATGGCTGGTAGATGTGACCCACTTACTTATGGTCCAGACACATGCATTTACCAGGATAATAAAATTCAGTCTCTGCCTGCAAAGAACTCCCGGTCCCCTTGCTTTTCACTCTCGGTGACTTTGGTCATTATCACCATTTCCACTTGTTTTTGTTTTATGTTGCCTGCTGCATGTGCCATGGAGGCTTTAGGGAATCTGTCTATGGAATGAGGTTTAAGGAGAAGAGTTTGTGTGCTGTGTTGAAGTATAAAAGCTTCCTTTATTTTTCGAGGGCCTCATGATACTCTCTTTTTAAACATTTTGATTCTAGTACATACTGGAAAAAGGTACTTCTTGGTGAAATAATTTCAGATACAAATGAGAAGAGAAGTTTGGACATAACCTGGAAAATATGTGATTATTTTATAGAGGAGTCCAATGCTATGCTTCAAAAGGTATGTTTCTAAAAATTTACATCCTTTCCTTAAAGAAGTGTTTTTAAGAAGTTACTCGTTTTATTCATGTTAGATAGGGATAATACACTTTATAAGAGCACTGTCTAGTGTCTTAAATAACTGAATGTTGATGCAGTATCTATTTTTGATTGTTGAAATTGTGTCTACACCTTTTTTTTCTCACTTTTTGGTGAAAACATACACAACAAGACATTCACCAACATAACAACTTTCCCATTTATAGCTCAGGGACATTGATGACATTTTTCACGTTGTGCTGCCATTATTGCTATCCTTATCCAAAATATTCTACCACCATTAGCATAAACTCAATGCCCCGTAAAGAAAAGCTTCTCCCACCTCCCTCCTTCCCCTGGTAACCACTAACACTCTTTGGTTTCTCTCTCTATATCTGTCTCTGTGTGTGTGTGTGTGTGTGTATTTTTTTTCCTTTTTTTTTTTTTTTAAGTCTATCTGGGAATTTAGCCTCCCCTCCCCTCCCATCCCTGGTAACCAACAAAGTTTCCTTCTATGTATAAACCTTTTCTTGACTTTTTACAATAATGGACTAATACAATATTTGTCCTTCTGTGATTGACTTATTTCACTCAGCATAATGTCCTCCTATTTCATCCATGTTCTGTGGTGTTTTGCAGATTCTATGTTATGCTTTAGGCTTGCATAGTATTCCATTGTCTACACCTTTTTTAATATGTAAAAATTAGTATATGACTTCACCAGCCCTCTGGATAGCAGTCAGATGCATTAGGCACTATGCCAGCAGGGTTCCCATTTGGTATTTTTGGTTTAGTATTCCATGGTAGTGTAGTGCCTAAGGCATTTGACTGCTAACCAGAAGGCTGGTAGTTCAAACTCACTAGCCACTCCTCAGAAGGAAGGTTGGGCAATCTACTTCCATAGTGATACCGCCTCACAAACCTGAGGAGGGGTCACTATGAGTCGGGTCTGACTCGACGGCACATAACAACAACACACCTTTTTTAATACTTAAAAATTATTATGTGATGTTTTGGTAATAGATTTTCAAGTATGACTTCCCATTTATATCTTTGTTTAGTAAATGTTTCAATTAAGAGAGATTAGTTGATTTTTATGAAAACATTACTGAGATTAAAAAATAATTTTGAAATAACTTTCAGGTTTCTCATATGAAGGATGAAGAAGTGGCTTTGATAAATCAACTAACTTTAGTAGAAACTTTGTGGACAGAAGAGCTAAAGATTCTGCAAGCATCTGCTGCCATTCTAAGTAATTTGCAAACAGCTTTTACCTAAGCTGGCCAAAGTACATATGATCCCCTCCTGTGGTGGGTGTGACTTCTTAAGTAATGTAAACATTTTAACTGGTGTAATGAATTACATTTATTTTCTATAGAATCATCTGCAGTTGAGGCATGATTTCTAGGCAACAGTTGTGTACTTAATCCTTTTCTTTTTCCTTTCCCCACAAATACTGAACTTCTACTAAGAGTCTTGGTGGGACAACGTGGTGGCTGCTTTTAGGACACTGCAGGGATATCTGTGGGGAAGAACTGGTTCTGGAAGCTGGGGCCATCTGTGAAGGTGAATATGGCATTCGGAAGTTTATTCAGTGTTCTACAAAATAAACCACGGTCCTGAAGGAAATACAAGGAAAGTACTCAAATGTAATGAGAGAGGGAGATCTGAGGGAGCCTGATTCAGCCCCTTGGCTCTGAGCACTGCTCTTTCACTGCCTTTCCTTCTTTTCTGACTCAGCAGCTGTAAAAGGGCAAGAGTTTGTGCTGCTCAGATACCATCAGTTCAGAGGCAGGTTAGCAGTGTGCCACCTCTTGTAGGGACTGTAGCCATCTACAGCCATCTTGTAGGAACTCCAGCCATCCTGGGTTCATTCTCAGCCATACTCTAAGCTATAGTAAAGAACTTTGAATTTTCCATCCTTAATTTCTATCCTGAAAATGAGACTATTGGGCTGAAGTGGGGTTCCTGCATGCTCTGCCCTTTTCCCTGCCCCGTAAAGGTCCTAGGTGATGCCTATATGCCTCTCAAACCCCACCACTCTGAGAATGGGGCATTAGGTTGAGGCAATCGAAGACACTTTCTATAATTTTATGAGTGAGAAATTAATATGTCATTACTTACAGGAGAATGTGGCACCTGCTTCAACAAGTCCACTTGAAGTTTTCCAGAACATAGTTGAAATCTCTTGTCAGCTGATGGCCCCCTTACTGTTCTCTTTGTGGTGGGTGTTCAGCTCTTTCATTCTACTGATTTTTTTTTTTTTTTTGGTCACTTTAACGGAGCTCTCAGAGGGAAAACCCAAACTCACTGCCGTTGAGATCTGACTCATAGCGACCCTTCTTTGGGTTTCCAAGGCGGTGTCTCTATAGAAGTAGATTGACCACCCTTCCTTCCAAGGGGTGGCTGGTAGGTTTGAATTGCCAGCCTTCTGGTTAGCAGTCAAATGCCTTAGGCACTATGCCACCAAAGCTCCCTCAGAAAGGAGAAGAGGTACATTTTTGCGCTCAGCCATTTTCAGCTGAATTTTTGAGTTTCTTGTTTTGTGAATAATTAAAGCATGTTAGGGTATAGACTTCCCTCTGAGTTTGGTTTTTATATAAATGATGCTATATTTTAAGGAGCCCTGGTGGCATAGTAGGGAGTTCTAGTGCAGCAGTGGTTAAGGCATTTGGCTGCTAAGGAAAAGGTTGGTGGATCAAACCCACCAGCTACTCCATGGCAGAAAGATGAAGCAGTCTGCTTCCGTAAACCCTATAGGCCATTTTTGCCTGTTTTGCAGGGTTGCTATGAGTTGGAGTGACTTAATGGCAGTGGGCTTGGTTTTTTACTATTTTGGTGGCATGGTGGTTAAGCACTTGGCTGCTAACCTTGGCAGTTCCATCCACCAGAAACTCTATTTCTACTATGTCCTTTAGGGTCACTCTCAGTTGGAATTGACTTGACAGCAATGGGTGCTCTATTTAGTACTTTGTAAATGTCAGCTCCTGATTTATACTTTCACAGCCTTCTCATTGCCTGTCAGTTAACATTCACAGCCACTCATTTTACACTTGGCTTTGCCAAGATCATAGATTGTCAGTGAAAGAGCCAGGATCAAACCTGAGCTTCATTTTAAACCTTTACTTGTGTTGATCTCAGAAGTAAATAAGCCTTTATTATAAATACTGGACTATAATTGAAACCCTTGACAGTAACATTCATTAAATATCAGTGTTACTGGGTAGATGTGTGGTCCTGTGATGAGGCCTTTTTGTGCAGGTTTCATTCAAGCTTACATTTACCTCATTTTACAAATAAAAAGGTTAACAAAGAGCTTGCCATTGACTACACACACAGCACTTGGTGCAGCAGAGTCCCTGAGCGGTACAAGAGGTTCATGTTCTTGACGGCTAACCAAAAGGTTGGTGGTTTGAGTCCACCTAGAGGCACCTTAGAAGAAGGGCCTGATGATCTGCTTCTGAAAGGTCAGCCACAGAAAGCTCTATGGGGCACAGCTTTCCTGTGACACACACAAGGTCGCCGTGAATCAGAGGTGACTCCATGGCAGCTGGGACGTGGTAAAGTGAAAATAGCCCTCATCCTACCCTCAGGGGAACCACTACCCCCCGCCAGTATGTTTGGTGCAAAGCTCCCCATGGCTGTCCTGACATCTGGGTGAGTTCACCCATTAGCAGTGCTTTCCCACCACTGCACCCATGCCTGTCATCTCCCTTGTCAGCCAGCATCAGAGATGCAGAAAACAGCCTTGTTCCTGTTCCTACCCCCAGCATGAGTGAGCACCACAGCATCTCTGGAGATTCCATCTGGAAGACATAGGTGGGGAGGGTTGGTATTGCTGTCCAGTGGGAGCCCTTCTTTTCTGTCTTTTAGCAGGGCTGAGACATCACCTGGTTCTCACTAAGGGCTTCCAAGAAGGCAGGAGGTGGGTGTAAGCACAGTTCAGCTAGTCTTCTGGAGAAAAAAGGGGCCTTAGGAAGGGGTGCTTGCTCTTTCTGCTCTGTAGACCCATTTTAGATGCAGCATCTCTTCAACCCTGCGTCCTTCCCCATATGGGAGCAGTGACATAGATGTTGGGGACTGTAGTGCAGTGAATTGCTTAATATGGCCCTTCTAGCCATAGTCCTCCATTTTTTGAAGTATTGTAAATCCCAGCCTCTATATTGAAAGTACCATGGACTGCCAGAAGAATTAACAAATCTATCCTGGAAGAAGTGCAGCTGGAATACTCCTTGAAAGCGAGAATGGCCAGATTTCGTCTTACCTACTTTGGTCATATTGTCAGAAGGGACCATTCTCTGGAGAAAGATATCCTGCTTAGTAAAGTGGAAGGTCAGTGAAAAAGGGGAAGGCCCTCAACAAGATGGATTGACAGAGTGGCTGCAGTGATGGGCTCAGGTATAGCAAGGATTATGAGGATGGTGCAGGACCGGGCAGTGTTTTGTTCTGTTGTACATGGGGTCACTATGAGTCAGAGCCAACTAAATGGTACCTAATAACAACAATGATGCCTGTTTAGGGTGGGATGTATCTTGAGTCCTGCCTTGCTGGAAGGTGTGACTCAAGCCACCACCCTTAGTTTCCTTGAGGGTATATTTATGAATGTGCTGGTAAAGTTGCTGCCTCTTGCCCCTGCATTTGGTTCATCATCATCTCACCCCTGGACTTGAGATAGCAGCCAGTTGTCTAACCTGATGATTTGAGTTTGCCAGCCCCAGTAACCACATGAAGAGAATCCTCTAGACCTATGCCTAACCCACCGATTTGGGACTTGGCAGCCTCCCCACCTCCACCACCACTTGAGCCATTTCCTTGGCAGTGTGTAAGTTCTGTGAGATGTTAACAGCAAAATAAGGAACCCTAAGACAGGAGGGAAGGTCCTGAGGGGAGGAGGAGGAGGTGATGTTATAGATGATGGAGTGATACAGCAGTTTGGAAAACTTGAACATTTGGAAAACTTTAACCTCTTCTTCATAGGGACCAGCCTTTTGCTGATCCTTCTGAAAGAAATTTTTCGAGCAGGGACCCTTCTTGGGGGAAACTTTGGACTTCCAGGAGGAGGGATTTTTTCCTTAAGCAAGTTGCTAGCCTCTCCTACCCCAGAGGAGGAACCTATCTTTTTATTAATTTGGGAAGAGTGACTGCCTCAGCTACACAGTTCTTTCAGCTTTAATCCTAGAGCCTTTGCTGGATGACCTCACCACTTGAGGAATCTGGCCCCACCCAGCACAGCTGCTCCTTGGTAGGGGTATCTTTCTGATTCTGGGGTTCAGGTTAGGTGTGTTGAGTGAAAGCCATGGCAGTATTTTGGCCTCCAAGCTTACTCTTTGTTTTGTTACTCATCGCTTTTAGAACCAGGGCAGGAAGAGAGAGGCACTCAACCCACAGCCTTAATAGTTGTGACCCTTAGGACTTCCTGGATGAGCAATGTAGACAGATTGGGGCCTAGAGAGGTAGATGGGACTCTGAAGTAGGGAAGGGCCTGTGGTTGGTAGTCCTATCCCAAAGACACTCCAGATCGACATTTCTATACCCTGAGCCCTTTTACGTCCTCTCACAACTCACATTTCTCTCCATGATTGGACTCAGCAAAACTGAGTTTTTACTAATTTTTAATAGCTAGAGTGTATGCCAAGATATGCTATACCAGGTGGTCATCAAGCTTTTCCTGTAAAGGACTAGACAGGAAATACTTTAGGCTTTGGTGGTCATGTAGTCTGTCACAGCTATTCTGCAGGAGTAGCTATTGATAGTACATAAACACATGGCATGGCTGTTTTCCAATAAAATTTTTACAAAAGCTGGTGGTGGATCATAGTTTGCTCACCCTTCTGCTATACCATAATTTATTTTTTCTGTCGCCTATTAATAGACCTTTAAGATCTAAATATATTCATTCCTGCTTCAGAGTGCTTTATGCCTTTCAAAAATGAAATCCTTTTTGACAGAGACTTTGCAGAGCCCCATGTGGTAATTGTGCTTTATTTGTCCTGATTAGAACAAATACATAATGACAAAAAGCAACTACTGAGACACACTTAAAAACTAATACTGTTTCTCTATTCACAATAGATCTACATTTATTTGAAAACTAATATAAGACTTCTGGTTGGTTAACAATGCTCAGTGTAATGTATGAACCCATGGACTCCTTGCAAGAAATCCTGTGGCAGATAGAAATCCAGAAGGTTAATACTAAATTTTCAGATATAGATAACACATTGAACAGGCAAAGGAGCAGAATTGAATCAATGGAAGACAGGGATTGAAGACAAATA